TATTAATTTACGACTGAAGCTGTAGTTTATTTAATATATTGGAGATATTTTCCTTTGAACCACGTGAACAGGGCATCAAAGCGATTAAAGGGACAAAAACGTTTTTGAAAACGCTCGAAAACGACGCCCGTGTGCACATAGCCATAGATGCGAAAAATTTTTGCGGATTTTTTTTTACATTTCATAGACCGGGAAAATTTTTTTAACCTTTTTTTTAAGAAATATGGTTCGAAAAAAATTTAAGCCCCCCCCCCGCTCGCCAACTTTTCCCGGGCCCCACTTAAAAGTTTTACGGGGGGCCTGAGGAGGTTCCGTTATGCCACTGGGTTTGATATTCTAGTAACTGGAATTTGCTTTGTGAATCTTGTGTCCCCCAAAATTATTGGATTTAAAAACGGATTTTACTAAACCTTTGGTAAACTTTTACTAAATAAGCCAAAATTTTGCCAGATTTGGATTTTACCCATCCCACTCCTGGGGGGGGGGGGGGGGGGTGTTAATGGATACTATTTTGTCTGAATCAGTTTCGGAGTCTGATTCGGACGAAATACTATCCATTAAATCCATATTTTTAAATGTAAGTTTCCAATTTTCAGTTGCGCGCGCTACTCCATGTTTTTCGTTCAAAAGAGGTGACAAATTAAATGACGTAACCTGAAGCATGCAATGAGCAAACAGAACACAGGCTCCGTTTCAGAAGTGAGCCGTCGCCACAGCATCAGGACGGCATGTACTTCGCACTTTGCAGGATTTTCTGGTCATCATCAAACGTTTTAATAGAATTTTACCAAAAAAGTTACCAAATTCTTGAATTTTAAAAAAATTTTCAAACATTTTACTCAAAAATCTTTTTTACCAAATTTCTATCAAAATTGTCGAAATTTTACCAAAAGTAAAAAAATATACTGTATATGGTCACACTGTCAAGTTCCTCGAGATATTCATACACTTCCTAGTATAATTGTAAATTTCCTGTTGAATAGTTTGAATGCACCAACCACCTTTGTTGTTTGTGCAACTAACCAATCATAAATAGAAAGAAAGTGACCAGAAATGATCAAATACTTGGAACTGGCTCTTTCACAGGAAGTGTATGAATATCTCGAGGAACTTGATCAAATGAATTGGTCAGCCCCGGCGAGGTAATGTATTGAATCAATATTTGAGGAACACTTCAATTGGAACGACATTGCATGTTTTAGGCAAAAAATTAAAGCAACTGAATATTCATAAACATTATTACATTAGATATTCTATATTTCACGATTTCCCATAATACTCAATTCTTCTTATTTCTTCAAACTGCAAAATTGCTTGAAAATGAAAGCTCATTGTATGAAACAATTTTCCAACGACCCGCGATTATTGATTTATTGATGAACTTTTGACTTCGCTAATGCTTTCGTTTCCCTGCCAATAGTCGAGTGGAGTTAAGTACCCTCGTCCCGTGGTTACGCCCAGAACGAAATAATCAATAAACCAATCTAACAGCGGTTGCGTAATTCCGCATTGCTGCTGCTTAAAATTAGCTTGTCTTGAGGAACGGAGTCAAACATACTTTAGAGAAATCGTAAAACCAGATTATGCATGCCAAATTCTTTTCCATAATCTAACGCCTTGTCAATTTTACAAATAACGTGAAGACCTGTAAATTAATACAAGATCTTCCAGCTGAACGAAAGATCATGCAAAGTTATGGCGAACAGAGGCGGAATGACGTTTAATTAAAACTCGCGTGCGAGCCAGTCATTGGCTTAAGTGCATGCTATTTAAACTGATTGTTCGATGTTCCAATGTTTCATGGAAGGATAAACGACTTATTGATAATTACCATTAATAACTAATGCGCTTCCTGATTGATTAATAAACGCAGTTACATTTGGTTGAACACGGCTGCTGTTTTGAGCTATATAAAAACGCAAATATGTATTTTGCTCTTGTCACTGCATGAGCCTGAACGACATCTAAACTGACTACCAAAACTCCATATAAAACTATAGTATATATTGCTCATTTCTGTCGTGCTATATACTTTAATTACACTGATGCATGTATATTCGATATTGTATATGAATCCACTGATCAGCTAGTGTCTCGTTACTGCGGATAAAATTGTGCTATACCTACCACAACATCGCCGGCTAACTCCGTTGATTGTAGTTAAATTCCATTGAACACAACTGCTGTTTTTGAGCTTTTTACATTCCTGCAAGTAAATGTATATGTGCATCATTAAAACAATTAACCAGAGCATTCAATATTCATTGGTACTATGTTGAGAAAAGAACATGTCTTACCGTAGGCGTAGTGAAGGCTGACTAAAAGGGATTTCTCTCGACAAATGTTATGTTGAATCATTCGCTTCTCACAGTCAGAATACTTGTGGGTGTTTTGTCAGGCAGATTTGCATTTTAGAGTATATTGTCTTCTTAAAACAACCAGGTGATCTTGATACGCGGAAAAGTACTGGCACTAGTTGTCAAATAGAAATCCATTTTATGATTAAAACAACTGAATATCTCCTGTAATATACTTTATTTCGATTCCAAATTTTTGTCAGAGCTATAGTTCTCATAACCAAACATAATTACAAAATTTCAACTAGTTTCATAAAGAATAACGAAAGATATAATTGACTGAATACATCAAAATGGATTTCTATTCGGACAACCCTTTCTGAGCGCTGATTGGCTAAAATACGAACACGAGATCACCTGGAAATTATCATATATAATGGAAGTGGAAAAAAACTTTACACTAAGTTTGAGAAGGACTTCGGTTTTGAACGTCGGTTGAAGTGATGTCGATAGTTAGAAGGGCTATAATTTTCGAATGATGTTAGAAAATGAAGGCACACAAGTCAAACAATCATGATATACCGCATTTTTTTGATGTTCTGTACGACTGTACCCAACAGTGCGGCGAAACATTGTTCTGAAATATGTTTGGTATTCTCACATATAATAAACGCCGAAAATGTGGGTCAGTTTTTGCTTGCACGTACTCTAATTTTATAACAAAAAGAATTCTTTGAAAAATTGTTTTTGACTGGCATCTCCTGGTATAAGCCTTTGCAATGCAGAAAATTCATGAGCCCTCATGCTTTCTTTTATAACATAACGGCGATGTTGCCACATCACTTCTGAAGTTGGCCACCAACCGACCGCGTTGTCTTATTAAATCACGTGAACTGAAAAGCGCTGTGATTTGTAAATTAGCGTGCAGAACGAACGAAATCTCATGCATGCAGTAATACACTGGATCTTCGCGCCTCTTCGATCGTAAATGTCAGAATTGAAAAAATCAGAAATTTGTAATTTTACAAGATAAGAACTCACTGCAAAAACATTAAAAAGAAGTTTGTGTTTAACGACGGCAAAATTGACAAGTTGACGCGGAAGAATCAGTTAAGAGAGCCGACGCGGGCATTTATATAAGTACATTACATATATGATTATACATGGAAATATATTGTTAAGTGTTAAGGAGCAGTCAGAGGCCCTGTATTTTACGATTTGGTTGCTGGCTAACGCGTGCGAGGCCTAAGATTTTACCATTGTATGGCGATTTCAAATGTATAAATTGTAAGAGTTGGGATGCAATTCAACAATGGGGGGTGAATAGGTCTTCGGATAGTCGGATTTCGCAGAAATTGCGGATTTATCTAATATTTTGGCTCGGATTATGGATTTAGCTTGCAATTTATTGACACTGGAAAACGTCGCCCTAAGCCTGACTCGTACCCAGTCCCTCAAATGAGGATTAAACAAAATAATGGTGCATGATGGGAATGGTAATTGACGACTGGGTACGAGTCAGGCCCTAAGCCTCTAATGCATAATAATAAATAGAGAATAATACATGCGTGCGCGGAAATACCAAATTTATTTCGAGTGTTGAACATGATATTTCACGAGTAAGCGCAGCGAACGAGTGAGATATCATGTTCAACACGAGAAATAAATCTGGTATTTCCAAGCAGCCATGTATTTTTCTGTTTACTATACAAACAAAATTCAGTGAAAAACAATAAAACGTCCGTGGGAATGCGTTTTACAACAAATGATATTTTCACACGTAAAAATATCGTATTTTTTACGTGTGTTTAAATACGATTTTTCTCAGTGGCCAAAAACTCTATATAACACTTACGTTTATATAATAATAGTTTTTATTGAATACTCAAAACACATGTCTGAATTTACACGGAATTTTAAGAATGAACTATTATAAATAATCTGTTTTATTAGTTATTTACATCAATGGTTTTATAAGACTAGTAAAGTTCTATATGATATTATTAAGATATAATATATACTAGATGGAACTGAAAAGGCACCATTGACATTCAGTTCAATACTAGAGCCTAGAGGCAGCTCAAAGTCATACCCCTTTGAGAACTGTATGTATACTCGTTCCTGCTTCCAGAATA